TAGCAAAGCACAAATAAAAAATTCTTCGCTTTGAATGTCACCCAGATCAAACGTTTTAGTACAGTTGCTGTACGAAAAATGAGCTGAAGATATCTTGTGCTTCTATCGTTATAAATAACACGTTACCTCACTGGTATCTTCTCTCCCATATAAGGCTCCTGTTGAAGAACTTGCAGGATTTTCGCTCGAAGAGCATGAGTTTCATCGCCACTAGCGCCATCATTGTCTCCTTCTTGACCTTTCAATTATAAATCAAATCAAACAATAAGTGTCGCAGAATGGAACCGAGACTTCTCCTTGGACAGTCGATAGGAGTTTGGTGGGAACTACCACCCTTATCAACGGTTTCGTGTCCGTAAAGGTCTCTTTCCGCTGAATAGCTTCAAGTCACTCTTTCTTTTGCAATGTACTACTAATTTCACTGGTTGAAGGTCCTTTGTAAAACAGAAAAATCACTATGGCATTACTGTATGCGATCCAGGTATATATAACATAAAATGAGTAACACACAACAGTAGAAATTCATACTAAAAAATTCCAACCCTTGCATAAGCGCTATATAAGTTTCAACTAGATAAATATCCCTCTGGGAACCGATGGATTCCGTGACTAAGATCTCCAGTACATGAATCATTGATCGAATGACGAGTTTGACTTTCCTTGGTAGAAATCAAAGTAAACCCTATCCCGAAAACACAAAAGGTTGAAACTGTTATGTAGATATTCCAGATTCATAACTTGCTCACAAGATTACCTGCTTGTGGATTTTTCTGAACTGTTAGGAAATTCCGGATTTTCTTTCCAATTGAATGGTGTCCTTGAGTGTTATCAATGAAGAAGAATGGCCGGATCACTTGTTTTCCACACTCTTTACTGGATATCTCACGTTGTATCTTGGATGTTACATCCTTAGTATCCTCATATGGCATGTCAGCATGGGTTCCGACGATGAACACTGGAGGACGGAGATAGGGCAAGTTAGAGGTTTCCAGTTTTTCTTCTCCAGTCGGTCTCATGTTATAAATTGTCGCGAGCCAAGAGAGCAAGTTCTCCAGATTTGTCTCATTGTTCGGGTTCTCCAAGGTTACCTCATGATTTCCTTGTTTGACACAGGGCTGAGCTTGTGCATACAGGGGCTTACTGAGGTTGTGCACCAGAATGTACACTGCTCTTGACGACAGAAATACCGGGAGAGCAGCATAGTAGAGATGTTGACCCGCAAAATCCCACACATCTACGGACATCGTGGATCCTGTCGTGGTGTTTGCACATCCTGCATCCACACCTTTAAGGACCATGTTCTCTAAGAGTTGACCAGCATGTTTTGTGACGACTCTAGGAAGCGCAGTGGCATTAATAGTTATTTCAGACTTTGTGCTTGAATTAATACGGCCATCAGAACTCTTCGCTTTCTCTTCTTGATTAATTTCACTTCATAAAGAGTTTTCATCAGCAAACGCAGTAGATTCCTTGTTATCAGAAACCTAGTAAATTTAATTGAAAAGAAGTAGTGCTGTAGTCGTATGAATATCAAATTGAATTAAAATTTGCATGGTTGATGCATCCCTATTCACAAAGTCAGTTACGATATCTATCTCGTTATGTCAAAACACGGAAATTAGCGTCTGATATGTGTATAGTTTTTGCACTATTCAAAGCTTTTCATAAAAATAAAGTTTTACAGTAAAACATAGTAAACGAACCTGCTTGATAACAGCTTGTTTAGTGTCCAATTCTTCTACTGATTCCACTTTTTGTCGATCCGTAGGTTTCGCCTCTTCTGATTTCATGCTGGAGTCTTCCTTCTCCTCGGCAACAGCCATGTGATACAGTTCTGTCGCTATCCGTTTTGCCACAGATGTTGTATATTCATTACATTCAGATAAACTTGACTTCCTCGCACGGGTTGGAGTCCAATTCCTAATTTGCTCAACTTCAATTTCGAACTTTGATGGCTCAATTTCGATTGCGTCTGTGCTCTGTTCCTTGAAGCGAAATGGCTGGCCTAGAAGAGTTTTCTTCAAACTTGTTTTGCCAGCACGATCCTGGCCAACCAATACTATGCGACCATGGTAAACATTCACAAATCCATCTCTAAGGGCCATTTCATAGACACGTTTTGCAGAATGTCCTCGCGCCAAAATTTGGAAGGGAGCTACGGCTTCAAGCAAGAGAAAAGGAAACGTTAAGATAAGATTTCCTGTATAAATTCCGACCTAGAGTATTCAGGACATAATTAATTGAGGAATACAGTTGGTAGTGTCCAAATTAAACAATGAAAGTGTTCTCTTAAACCTTTTTAACGCCATTTGGGGCACACAAGACCAAGATATCGTTACTTTTACTAAAAGGGATCTCTATGATAGGTGAGCCATCTCTTCTCCTCTTATTCCGAGTGGAGCGCTTTACAAATTTCCTCCAATAATAGATAGATAGCTATCTATCATTAATTTAGGGCATCTAAGTAGATAAGTAGGTAGGTAGATAGGTAGGTACTCTTCATCTATATCCCCCTAAACATTAAAGAGGAGGGGGCAGTAAAAACATGAATTAAAAGAGGGGGATGCCATTAATTTCAGTTCTCATTGTGGGAGGATCCTTACTTTTCCAGATTTCCATCCTTAAAACATCACACAATTTTTTGTATGTATTTCAAACACTCATTAATAATTCATGAGCCGATTAGCCTATCACACGAGGCATCTGAATTATTAATGAAAATATGATTACTGTGATCTTTAAATAAAGATCACGTTAATTATAATACCACATTATTCCCCATAAGGCAGCATACAAAAACATTAACCGCAGTAAACAACAAAGTTTATTTTCCTGATAAATTCTTGTTAGAACAGAGATTCGTTCTTTTACAATTTCCCATTGTTCACAAAGTTAATTGTGCAGTTTTGAATAGTCTCAACTTCAACTCTAAATCCTATATCCTCCAAGTTGGCGTCTTTATTTCTTCTTGAACTTTGCCACTCGCCAAAACTTTTGTAAGCCCACTTTGGGGCATACCGAGTAGCCCTTGGAACACAACTATCCAAGTAATCTTTCTCTTCCTTCGCATTTTTTGGTTCTCAAAACATGTGTTTGGGCGGCATTTCAAGGAAGAGCTTCCTGAACTTTAACAGCAGCCGAACAAGGAGCACTTTTCCCCTTTGTATGTAATTAACTTTGAATGCATTCAAATCCCGTTTAGAAAAATCCCTAGAGAGGCACGGGTTTCTTAAGCTATTTAATGCATTCATATAACGTTTGGAAAAATCCATAGAGAGGCAAGCGTCTTTCTTGCTATTTAAAAAACAGGCAGCACGTGTTTTATCGGGTGATAAAACACTCGGCTACGCCTCGTGTTTTTAAACCCGATAAAACACTGCTGCTCGTTTTTTAAATAGTACATCAATGTTTAGCCGGGTATTAGCATGTGTAAGAACACCATCCATTATTGAGAGCTTGAGCCTGAGTATATAATGCCATCCAAGTAACATTACATGTTACAACGTCGGTAGCTTCAATGTCGCTATTTATAGTAAAACTTTATGCATGCAGTCGCACAACTGTAAAACAAAGGAATTAAGGTTACAGACTTCCCTACTACAACTTTTGAGAGCTTACGGTACGAGGAATAAATTTGGTGAGACGTTACAACTAATACAAAGTTGAAGTCTGAACACAGAAGGAAAAATATTACAATTATCAAACCCTATCCTTGCAAAAAAAGGGCCAATTTCTGCCATAACTTCTCCCATACATTCATGCTTACAGGAAATTTTTGTCACTAGCTAGGTGCCACTGTACCTAGCAGTAGTTCTGCAGTAGTTCTGCAGTAGTTCTGCAAAACAAAAATTTTTTTTTTAGTTAACTCATCATTCATGACTATGCAGGTCTTATGGAAGGTACATTCCTGTACAGGGACTGTCATTCTAATTATCTCAGCAAACTGCAATTGTCAGAATTCTCGAGCCAAGATGTAATTACAAAGTGCGCGTTTCCCAATTAGTCACCTTTGTTATCGTCAAGTTTACTCCTTTTGGGCTATCTTGAGCTGAACCATCCTGTTTCATCAGAAAACATCAAATTTTACCTATATATTCTAGTAATTAACTGCATCAAAAGTTTTCATAACCTGCTTCCTTTAATTGTGTTCCAGAAACAGTAATTGATGCTGAAGAGAAAGGAATAAAGTTATTGAAACATTCTATTTTACAAGAAAAACATCTGCGAGGCTTGAATTAAGATTACCTTTCTATGCAAACAAGCCATATTGAAACAAAAGATATGAATAGATTTACTCTGATTATCTCACAAAGTTTGAATGTAGAATCCAAAATCTAATTAACTTGCTGTTGAATAGGAAAAACATCAGTGTTTTCTCTGCCATTGTCATTCTAATTATCACAAATCAATCTCAAAACCAAATCTCTCCAAATTTATGATCATTAGCCACTTCAGCGAGAATTTTTTATGATGTATACCTTGATGGGTTTTCACATGACAATATTGTCAAAATCAAATTACCGAGTAAGACTTCTTGTAAACATGAACATCGCTGACTCATGGCCCCCATTTTGATTCACTTTTCGGAAAGACCATTGCCTCGTTTCTTAAGGGAACAACACGCATCTACGACCTAAGTGTGATTCATTTCTTTAAATGAATAAGAAGTGTTGGCGGAAGAGCAAATGATGGAAGCTTGCTTACGCCACTCGCTATTATTTGAAAACTTTTTCAAAGGAAATAACGCTTGTCCAGATTTCAAGAGAACACAATCTGTAAGTTAATTTCTTTTACCCAAACACCTCGACCGAATTAAACATTCCAAACGAAATAATTTGGAGAATACAAACAGTCTGAAATGTTGCCGAGCGATTGATGAGCTGGCATAAAGGTTTTCAAACAACGAATGCGAAATAATATTATCCAAACGCCAATTAATTTTTGCCTTCAATTATCAAACAGCAATGCATTAAAGTGAAGCCAGCATCAAACGATGATCGATAAAACGTTTTTGAATTATTCTGTGCCTTCAGGGTGGGAGAAAACTCAGATTAGACTCAAGTTACCTCCACTCATTTCTCGGTTCCATTGTAGTTCGCTTTCTCCTTATTGTTGACTTATTTTCAGGCAGTTTTCTGAAACTCTTTGTCTTCCCTGTTCACGTTGCTCTTCCTGAGATATTCACCCTTTTACATGATCTTTTCTATATCCTCTTTCGCGTTCCTCTCGCCTTGTTCTTAACCATTTTGTTATTTAATTTCTCTTTCGCGTTTCGTTTTCCCGATTCGCCCGCAACTTACCTCTCCTCTCTCTTTCTTTCCTATTTCCACTCAAATCATTTCACTACAAACTTGAATTAAAATGATTTCTTCCGGTTGACATAGCTTTAGCTACGAGTCTTGCTTACTCGCAAGTAGGTTGATTAGAATTGCAACGTTCTGCAGCTATGGATCAACAATATTGAATTTCCCAACTATAACCGATCGGTTATCACTAGTACTCCCGCTAAAAATCCTTCGCTTGCCCGGCTTCACCGCTACAAGCCCACGTGGAGCCCTTGAGCAATACTTAACTACGTGCCTGCAGTACGCTACCATTCGAGTATGCGCACTTGATTACTTTGCACTTGAGTTTCTTAGCGTACAGGCATGGGATTTTGTAAGTTTAGCACTCTATCGCGCTCGCGCATTACTTCCCCGCTTCCATATTACTTACGTAATGGCTAGATTCGAGCCCACAATGCAGTTGACCGCGCATGCTTACAGTAGCAACTGTAGTATGGGGCTACGCTGTCCGCAGCGAGCTCCGCCATAACATAACCAGAAAAAAGTGCGCGCTCTGATTGGTCAATTCAGTGTTCACCAATTGCCCATGGGTGTACGCTGCTGACATGATCGGATGAGAAGACTAGTTTCTGTGAGCTTGTTTTTTCAGGTCACGTAAGACTTGACTGTGAGATATAAGGGAACTTTTTTGCTACAATATATCAATGTGATATTATAAAAGAAATGATAAATACGAAAGCGCACACTGTTGAGTTATGGATGCTCGCGAGAGGTTTGTCCGGGAGCAGAGACCGGAAAATCGGGGTTTTGTTCAACCAGCTAGCAAGAAAACGTTTGACAGTGGATTCTATTAGAACAATACCTCCAGAGTAAGGCTCGCTACGCCGTAACGTCTAAAAGTGGTGTACAAAATGAGAAAAGGGGAGGTTTTGCTACGTTACCCCTTCGTCAAAGTGAAAACGAGGTTGCTAAGTGCATGGCATTTGTTTACTCCTTTCTTACACCCTTATCAACATTTGCGGTCCAAATGCCCGGTTAGTTCAAAGTATTTGCTTCATTTTCTAGACTATGGAAGAACTGAAACTTTTGGCAATAACAATAGTTAAAATATGTTTTGCTAACTACAATATTTTATGTGTTTATCACTGGGGCAGTCAAAATGTACACAATGAGTAAAAATACTCATGATCAGT